GAAGCTAACAATAGTGACATGAAACAGTTGGGGTATATCCCCAGAGACGGTTCCACTACTATAAGGATTCCAGGGAGGATAGTGGTTAAGCACCGCCTGCTAAGCTAAAGCTTGAAAACCCCCAGCTACTCCTGGGAGAAAGATGTGCAGCCTGCAGCAGCTCTACTCTGTCCTGTAGGGTTGCTATGAGTCAGACTCTATGGCAGGTGTGAAGATTTCGATTGAGGTTGAGTTACGCATGCTTTTCATTTCATTCACTTGTGCCTATGGTCACTATAATGAAACAAGCAAACAACAAAAGCCCCTAGGAACAAGTAGAACCGCCCCCTAGGATTTCCAAGGATGCTCTTCACGAAAACACGATCAATTTTGTTTTCCCAACGAGGGGCTCCTGTATTCCAACCACTGACACAGCTTTATCAGCTGACTGCATTTAAGCACTTCCAACAGGGCCTCTTCCAGTAATACTAAGAGTTGTGTTTAATACAACCTTTGAAAATCCTGTGTTATAATTTAATTCTCAACCTTCTTGATAGACTTAGGATATATTACTAATTTTTAGAGTAGTAATATTATTTTGTGGTTTTTTTTTTTTCAGTTTTAAAATCTTGCATGTGTGGAGGGAAGAAGAATTATAATTGGTGAATCATTTAATAATTTAACCCTAGGTCATTGAGAGGTTATGTCGAGTATGATAAAAATACCTGGAAAGCGGAAGAACGTGGCACGGCATGGGGAAAACTGCATACTTACCCAGTACTTTTATCTCAAGTGGTTTTTGTTGTTGTTTTTGTTGTTGTTTCCTAAGTCAACTGTTATAGCTCATGGTTCTTTTATATTTAAGGGCATAATCTGAAGATCATTTCTTAACATTTTGCCCTTTTTCATGGAAAATATGTAAGCAAACCGGATTCGTTAGCAACAAAGAATTTGTATCCTTATTCTGTTTTACATAGCTAATACACTCAAAAGGTTCGGGGGTTTTACTTAGAAGTCTTTTTCTCCTACAAGTCACAGAGATACTCTTTCCCATTCGCTTCTACAGCTGTGTAGGCTTCCCTTTCACAGGGAGATGTTCAATGCAGCGAGGCCTCCCTCCCTCTGTGGACACTGTTTGTTCTGGAGCCAGTTCCCCTTCTAGTGGCTCGTCCTTTCTCTGTCGCCATGGCGTCGTCTTCATGTTGGGCAGGGTCTCACCTGTACTTGGTTCTGCATTGGGACTCTCCTTTGTACCACCCGTCACTGTTCTGTATGTCAGCACCACACTGTTTCCCTCTTTCATGGGACAAGCTGCTCTTTGACTTCTTTTTTCCCAGAGCTCATTGCAGTATTTGCCAATCATCTTTCTTTCAGAGGCATTTTGGAACAAGGCTGAGTGTCTAAAAACCCTTCAATAAATAAGACCAAAGGTGAACTTGCGTTTCCTTGATGGGTTCCTTTCTGGAGACTCGAAGTCTTTAGCATGTGAAGTGGACCTGTGCAAACACAGAGTGGCCCCTGTGCATTCAGCTCTTACTCTCCCACGTCACAATTTGGTCTTTTCCCCATAAAAGTCTTACATATTCTTGGTTTAGTTAGTGCCTAAATGCTTAATGCTTTTTATTGTGATTATGAGGGACACCATATTTTTGTATTACATTTCCTAGTTAGTTATTGCTGGAGTAAAGAAATGGTTTCTTTAAACTGATGTTTCATGTATCAACCGAGCTACACTTACAGCATAGTGGTTACTCATTGGGCTGTTAAAAACTAATTCAAAACCAGCAGTCACTTCTTGAAAAAAAGAAAGGGCTTTCTACTCCCGTAAAAACTTACTGTGTCGGAAACCCACAGGGCAGCTCTGCCCTGTCCTCCAGGGTCGCTATGAGTTAGCATTGACTTGATGGCAGAGAATAAGTACACTTATTTAATGTTCCTTTGGTTATGAATCACTCTGTGAAACTCCATCAATATGTGCATCATAAACAAGCAGCACTATTTGGTTTCTTGCCTTTTTATCTGTAGGCTTCTCTCTCTCTTTTGCAACCCCCTTGGTCACCCCCAGCTCCAGCTCCAGCTCCAGTTCTCTGCTGGGCAGTGACCATTCTTGTCACGCCTTATGGAACTTAGGGGACTGCTTACTTCCTGTTCACTTTCCACCCTAACCTCATGCGGAAAGGCCACATCCATCCATTTCATTGGTGAGTTCGCAAATCCTGAACAACTAGGTCAATCCTTCAAAATGGTGTTTGGCATTGTTGCTGGCTGCTCCCCCACCCCACCCCCCCATCCCCTGGTACTGCAGTCTCTCTCACCCCCCCACCCCCCATCTCTCTGTCTCCTTTTAGGGCTTGGTCTCCTAGATATCAGCGGTGTTCTTCAGTATTGCATCCTGGGCGCTTCTTCTCTGCTTCTTAGATAAACTCTCCCTTGATGACCTCATTTCCCTCCCCTCCCCCATGGTTAAAGTGATGATGATGGCCCTGACTCTGACTGGTGACTTGGATGTCCCACACCCATTGCCGACTCTTTCGATCCAACACTCCGCTCCATTTCCCCAGATGTTACCACTTTTGGTCTTGTTGCTTCAAACCAGAAACCTGTGTGTCCCCCTTTAAGTTCCCTATCCCTCTCCATCCTAACCGGCTTGGTGGATTCTTCCCCCTGGGTCCGAAATCATTATCTTAGACCAGATCACCTTGCTCCGCCTGTTAGCTGGCTGCCTATAGTCAGGAAACAGCTTCCTGATCTCCCTAATCATTGCCAGAAAGCAGCCCCCTTCTTGGCCCAGTTCCTTGGGAATTATTTCTGGAAGCTCCATTAGAGTTTCTTTCTTCATCCATCCCAGTGGTCCTGGGAACTACTAATCTTTCATAAAGACAAGAGTGTCTGCCTCCAGCCCTGCCCTTTCTGTTTACACTCTCTGTGCTTCAGTTCAGCGATGTGTGTAAAACGGGCATCTCTTCTATCAGCGTCGGACCCTATTGCTGCTAGACAGAGTTCACAATCCTAACAGAGCCCACATGCTTTAGTTTGGGCAGCTCCGTGGAGCCCTGGGGGTGTCGTGGTTGCACATTGGGCTGCTAACCGCAAGGTCAGCAGTTAGAACCCACCAGCTGCTCCACAGAAGAAAGAGAAGGCTTTCTGTTCCCATAAAGAGTTAATTACAGTCTTGGCAACCCACAGGGGCAGTCCTTACCCTGTTCTATAGGGCGGCCTTGAGTCAGCATTGACGTGATGGCAGTGCGTTTGCTTTCGGTGTGTGGCTGGATTTCTTCTATAGCGGCTGCTCCTCCCCTTGCTCCATCTGTAGGGCCTTCACACACAGCTGTTTGCTCTGACAGAAACATTTCCCCAAGTTTATGCATCACTCACGTTTCATCTCCCTTAGCATTTCCTCCCAGAAACCTTCCCTGACCCCCATGTGGTTAGACCACCCCTAGGAGTTCCCATCGCACCTTCTTAGGGAGCCTCACACACTCTGTGACTCTGGTCTGCTACTAACTAGATCAGCGCTTCTCAACCTGTGGGTCTCGACCCCTTTGGGAGTCGCCCGATTCATAACAGTAGCAAAATGACAGTGATGAAGTAGCAACGAAAACAATGTTATGGTTGTGGGGTCAGCACAACATGAGGAACTGTATGAAAGGGTCGCGGCGTCAGGAAGGTTGAGAACCATAGTCTTAGGTGGCAAGTTGGACCAGGTTGGACAAGGAGAGCAGTATTTCATGTACCTTTGCTTTCCCGCTGCCTAGCACAGTCCCTAACAGAAGATACATGTTCCATAAACATTTACTGAAAGAAAGTGAAATGCTTTTCCTTTGCAATCATGTGACCAGTTATCCTTGTAGTGGTTAACTAAGCTTAACTGATCCAGGGAGTCTACTCACAGCAGAAATCACTAAGCAACCAGCCTTTCTCTTTCGGTTTACCCTAATGCGGGGCGAGGGGGCTTCAAAACGTTCACAGGCAACTGGAATAAAAAGATAATTGAGTTTTTAAAGCCATCACCCCCCCCCCAATTCACAAAAAATTCATTTATACATTTATTTTTATTTATAAATTTTTAATGACAAAATAAATCATGGAATTTTCCCAGGAACTTTTTTGGTCTCTTCATGTTTATTGAGCACTCGGATACCAATTTTGAGAAAATGATGGATAAAAATCTCTGAGCATTTTGAACTTTGAAATAAATTGACGAATGACAATTACAATTTATTTCTGTATTTTTGAAAAAAAATCACAAAACACTTTTCAAGGGGTTTTCATCCAATAAAATAGTGTATTAGGTTGAACCACACAAAATTACTGTCTCTGTGGGCCCCAAAAGATTGAATACTTAAGTAGTTAATGGGGTTCATTAACTTAATGTGGTTCCACAGAATATTGAAGGAGAAATGCTATAAAATATGGTTCTTTGACAAAGTGATTCTCCTCCCCCTACCCCCTAAAGTTCATTATCTACACCCTTTTCGTAAATTATCAAATCCTGTATCAATGGAGGCGGAGCCGGGTATAACAGTGTTGCTCAAATGGCTCAGCAAACAAAACTGTGGCATGGCCAAAGGTGGCTGGGGATTGTTTTCATTGATGAATACAGACACGTGTATGAAACACTAATGTCTTTTGGTGGCGACTGTCAATTTTTTTTAATCCCTCAAATTTAAATGTCTTCCTTTGAGTTATGAGCAACGTGCCCAGTTTTTTTCCTTCCCTGTTTACCTAGAAACCATAGACACGGGAATAATAAAATCACCCCATTGGAAAAAGCCCTGCCACCCTGAAGGCTAATGAAACATTTTTTCTTTCTTTTTCTTTTTTTGCCGGAGTCGCGCTCCACAGGTTTCTATGTGGACGTGACAAACGAGAGCATTACGGTGGTTTATTATGAGAGGAATGTTTTTAGGGCTTTGGTTTCAGTGAGCTCTTCTGTGACAGAGCACATTGATGGCAGTGATAGGCTAGTGATGTCATTGTGATGTCAGCCCTGCTACTTATTCTGCACATGCCTTCTCGTTTGGAACATTTTATGGTGAACCGTGATAAGGGAAACAAGGCACTCCTGCATGCAGAAGCCCACCATGGCTGTAACGGGGGAGGAAACAGGTGAGACTCGGAAAGAGGGGCTCTTCCACGGACCCCGCAGCTTTTGTCGTTGTTCAAGTTTTAGGAAAGGTACATAGTGATCGCGGCTGGTGTTTCTACAAGAGTTGCATTTCTAGTCGTAGTGAGAAGTTTCTTTTAATTTCTCCCTCCAGTTCCCTCTGCTAAGGTCTCCAGTCTCCAGTCTCTCTTGTTCTCTCTCTTGCCCTCCTGCCCTCCACACCCCCCACCCCCGCCGCAGTCTACCAAAATAAGCTGTTACTTCATCTGCAACCTGTTGCAAATTCAGCTCGGTTACAAGTTAGGGATACATACTGCTCAGGCTATCGAAAACAGCCGGAGAACTAGGCTTCCGCTGGGATTGCCGTGTACGAAGGTGGCTCCTAACCGAGGAGGGAGGGCGGGCCAGCGGGGTCGTGGGCGTCCTGCGCGCCTGCTCGATTCGCCCCTCCCGGATTCAGAATGGTCTGTTCCTCCGCTAATTGAGTGCAAAGCGCTGACGTCATCACATTTCCTGGAATCGGGTTTCAGCGGGGAAGTGGAAAAGTTAAACTCCAAGGGAGCTGCACGTTGACGTCAGCCCCGAGTCATGCTGCGATGTGGTCAGTCCCTTCGGTTGGGGCCCGCGCGCTGACAGCTGCCGCGGGAGGCCGCTCCTCGCACCGGCTCGCTTTGCCTTGTAAGCCTCGCTTGGCTAACATTCCGCTGGCGGTAAGTCGATGCTGATGGGGGGACTCGCCCCTGAGCCTGCAAGGCCTGCGTGAGGCGGACGGTCAAGGGCGAGGGAGGTAGGGTTGACTCTCCAGATGAGGCGGTGGTCCCCCCACGTGCCCGGGCAGGAAGGCTTCTGCGTCGGTGGCGGAGGGTCCCGGACTCGGAACTTCAGTCACCTGAGGACTCGCGAGTTCGCGCGCCCTCTGGTGCTCAGTCGGGGAAGTGCTGCCTGTCAATCGTTCCCTCCGCCCGTGGGATTGAAATTTGTGATCAGTGAGCCTCTCATTACGGTTTGCTTTACGTAGTAATTTTTTTTTCCCCCAGCGAGGGATTTTGAAAGGCTTCGTTGCTAAATATTCTTTATGTGACCGCAACATTTTATCTGCAGTAGTGCCTTCGTTCTAAGCCACAACTGAATTTATAGGCGAGTTCGAGAATGCATCGATATGAATAGCTTAAGCACAATTCAGGCTCTTTAGTTAGTGGGTGGACGGAAGTCTTCTAACTAACTTGGCAGTGAAAGTTGATGGGTCCAAGTCTTCTTCCTTGGTAGTGAAAGTTGAGTATTCAAATGCGAAGTTTTACAAAGTTTGAACGGAATTGGCTTTGTTTTTGTTTGTTTGTTGTTATTTGGGGGGGGGGCGGTTAGTGTCTTTAGGAGCCGCTGTTTTTGTTCTCGCCAAAGAAATTTTGTGAAGCTCCTGAGATGGTATAGATATGTAGCAGCTCTCAACTTACAAACTGATGATAAACTTAATCTAAAATACTACGAGTCCTGTGATTCTTAGAACCACAAGGCATTTCTGTTCACACTTATTTTCTACAAATTAGTAGTAGGTTTCTACTTGCACCTTTGACTTGTCTAAGCCGGAGGGAGAATCATTAACAAAAAGTGAAATCATTGAAAAACGCTTAGAAGGTTTACAGACGCAGCAGTGAGGTAAAAATGTGCATTTAAGAAACACTACCACTGCTGGTAAATAAATGGAGTTCTTAATCCATTGTATGCTTATGGCCTGAACAGATCATCAATTAGGAGATCACCCCCACCCCAGCAATCTATAAAAAATGCTTATATATGATTTGTCCCTTCTAATTTAAAATTTTTTAAGTGTTGAAACAAACTTTTTAAAGTCTACTTATTAGAATCACTGCTATTTGAAAACAAAAGGCAAATTTTTATTTGTGTGTGTGTGTATGTGTAGAAGCCAAAAGAACACAGGATAAATGGGGCTTTCCTCAAGATATCATGGTTCCTGGTCTTGGAATCTCATTGTGGGACCAATGAACATGTGATCTAGGTTATTGGCTTGCAAACTCTGACTGTGATGGTTGACGTGTGTGTGTGTGTGTGTGTGTGTGTGTGTGTGTGGTATTAGAGCTACAGTTCTGAGCAATACATTTGCAGAAGGCTCTGACTTATAGTGGGAGTCCTAATTCCATTTTGAGTCTCCACACAGATTCAGGTGGCTATGTGAACAGTTTGGCCCTCTGGTTGAGTGTGTTTGCTGTGACTCCCCTGGCTGGGAAGAGGCAGTGTACTCCTCAGGAACTTGCCTGGGTTGACTGTGATAGAAATTGGGGTACCAGGGTCATATGCCTGGCTAGGATGCCCAGTGAGTCTCAGAACTAACTGTATAAACTTTGCTAGTCTGCAATAGCTTTTGTGTCACAAACGGTCTCTTTCTGTCTTATGTAGTCCTGCCTGGGACTGTGATGTGTTGATCTGCTGGCAAGCACGAGTCTGTGCCAGGCCCTTTGGCACCCATGTCCTCTTTAAGTAGCTGCGCTCTTTGGCCTCCATTCTGGCCCTCAGACTGATGGTCTTCCTTGTCCAGATGGTTCCTTTTCTCTGTCTTATTTAAGGCTTAATAAAAGTGTCTCCATAAAATGTAGATTTCCATTTTGGGGTGCTTTTCCTCCTAGACGGGCCCTGGTGGCGTCGTGGATTAGGCAATGGACTGTTAACTGCAAGGCCAGCGGTTCAAAGGCACCAACCGCTCCACCACAAGTAGATGAGACTTCCATCTATTTCCGGTACAGAGTGACATCTCAGAAACTCATCAGGACACTTCTACCTGTCCTATAGGATTGCTCAGAGTCAGAATCGACTCCGTGCCTCTAAGTTTTCTTAGCCTCCTGCCACAAACAGCACAAGCAAGTTTCAAAAATAATGCACATCCTTACAATATACACTATGTTCATACTTTCCTTTCTAGTTCAAAACTAAGCTTTAACAAAAACGATACATTTACCTATCACGGGCTCATGGAATGCAGCGTAACATGAAGAGTGAACATTGATAGTTTACAGAAGTGTGTTATGAATTCTGTTGAGTATAGTGTAAGCTTTTACTAAAAATAGTTCCTGGCTTTATTCATAGGTTGATTATATTAAGAGTGTAACTATGTGTCTTAGATTTTGAGTCTTAATACATTTCATTTAGCCCAGATTTCTAAAAAAACAAAGATCCCAACTCATTCATGTTCGGAACCCAGAACCTTAGGGAATATTTTAGTGCGCAGTAACAAGGATCTATATCACCTTTATGAAAAGAAGCTGCTGGAAATTATTTTTGTGTAGAAATTTCTCCTATGAATGCTTCAGATCAGGTTACAATTGCTTCTTGAAATCACTAGCAGAGCTTGTTATACTCATGTTGGAAATTAAAAGCTCCCACTTATAAGTCAGAATAACCCCAAGTCCTATGGAGAGCGGACTGAGATTGCCACTGTGCTATTCTCCCCTCGTTTTTTGAAAACATTTCAAAAGAAATGTAATTTGGGATTAATGTTTCACTTGACTTGGTTGTATTGGTTTTTGTTGATGTCTTTCCCTGCAAAATCATGATAATATGTTGCATTTATGTAAACTTTTAAAAACGTAATGTTCAAATAAACATAAATACAAATGATGGTAAGTGTTTGATATCAAAGAAGTTAACCAACGCAAAGAGACACTAAGACACAGATAGAAAGGCAGGCAGTAAAGGGCCACATGTCTAAGGAGGCCTGAGGAAACCATATTTAACTATTTTTTTTAAAATGACAAACCTTAAATATATTCTCATTGGTACGCCAAGGGCAAACATTACAGAGCTCATTTTACTTCGAACTCCAGAGCAATTATTGTGGTAGAAAGCCAGCGATTGGGGGGCCACTTTGAATCTTCAGATTCCTTGTCTCGTTCTGTTCACACCATATCAGAATACTTCTCAAACTTCACGTGGTATTGGTAAGTTAATGCTAATGTCTCATGGGTTACAGTAGCACGTTAACACACTGTTGATACAAGACATAAAGTTAGTGTCACTTTTTTCTATGAAAAAAAAGCACTCCCTGGGGATAATAGCGCATCTGACTATTCACTGAACGATCAATTAATGAATTGAATTTCAATATTCCCAACTCCTCATCTCTTAGATATAACTTTTGACTACGATGTGCACTTAAGTCAAGCAGGTTGTACCTTTGAAATATTCAACCAATTAATTATATGCAGTCTATTTGATTCAGTAATCGTAACAAATTTGAAAAATACCAGTGCTTACAGGCAGTGCTTAAATAGTTATTTTTATATAGGATTTCATTTCCCTGGAGGAAATGGAGAAGGGACCTTTTGGCACTAAGGGACACCTGGCAGGGACAAGCCTGACTGGGGTCTTAGGGCACCGGGATAGTAGGAGGGAGGGAGGGAGAGAACCCAAGCCAAAAATGGAGCCAGTACCTTTTATTCCTGTACCTCGGTAGAGCCGTCCTTGCTTACCGGTGTGACTTCCTCCATTGCTTAGCTAACCCTAAGGTGTACTTAGGGTTTGTGGCACAATGTGAAATGTCATGAGAGAAAAGCTCGTCTGTGAAAATGTTTCTATTCAGTACTTACAGAGCTCTCAGTAAATAACCAAACAAGCAGATGACCTCACCATTGGATGATAAGTTGCTTCCCTTTGGAAATGCTGAAGCTAGAATTCTGCTGGGTTTCTTATTTCTTCATTTGCATTCTCCTTTTTGACTTATGGGGTTTTTGGGTTTTTTTGTTTTCTTATTACCAGCCTGACAAGCATGTATTCTTTGGTCACTTGTGATTTCCCCACTTTCAAGATTCTGTTTTAAATGATTATATACATGGAAAAGGATATTTTATCTTTTCTAATGACTATCACTCTAAAGGGATATAACAATAGAGGAGTATAGACTTTAAACATTTCTTCATAGGCGTATTTTGAACAGAATAAGTAGTAAGAGCCCTGTACTTCATTCTATTTCCCATGTTTGTTAGAAGGGAAATTCCAGGGGAAATATATATTTATGGATGTTATAAGCTTTTTAACTAATATACAGTATAAGCATAATATGGAACGTTGTCTTTCAGAACTTAAGGAAGGGAAGAGGAAGGGAACTAACATGTGCTGAATGCCTACCATATGCCAGGCACTGTGCTAGACACTTTGACATACATTGCAGGGTTTATTGTGAGTATTCAATGAGATAATGTATCCCCATTTTACAGATGAGGAAACTGAACTTGCCCCAAGTCACATGGCTGGTAAGTGACAGAGCTGGACTAGAACCCAAACTCCAAACCCCATGCCTTTTCTGCTGTACCGTGTGTAAAGCTGGGCAAAGAGAGGTATGAAGTAATGACCCGGATCAAGAGTTCCAGGAATTTTCTTTCCCCACAAAGTATTGGAAGCTAAATCTAAAATATGTATGTATGTATATTTTAATATTAGGACTTAAGAGTTTAAACCATTATCATTAGAATTCCACTGCTTCTCCAGTGCCAGATTAGATAGCTCCAATCCAAAGGGAGATTGATCCAGAAAGGTCCGTTTGAATAAACATATAATATCTTGGAGGGCTTACCATGTTTCACTGACCTTAGGATGTAGCGATGATGATATATCTAGAAGAAGGACTGCTTATTTTGCTCATCTCAGCATTCCAAATGACCGTGGATTTAAGCATATGCCTAGCAATTCCAAAATTTACCTGGCGGTGTACACACAAACTCATCAAGTACCCATTGTGTGCCAAGTCCATACAATGCAGGGTGCTAGAGGATACCAAGGTTAAAAACACCACTACTCCCGGCTGACCAAAGATTCCCTTACCTGAGTGTATACATGTATTTTCCCTTACTCTTTTGCTTCAGTCAGCATTGTTAAGCCCCTTGGATGACCCATTTATTCTTTTTTTTGACCCATTTATTCTTAAAGAGGGTTTACACAGTGAGAGTCCAGACAACAAAATGAGACACGGACACTTTTATTGGTTAGCTAGACATAGAGTTGGCCTTAATGAGAATACAGGAAAAAACAAGGCTATCAAAGAATGCAAGATGGTTATTCAACTGAGATCCATAGACATCTGATCTACTTTACATCGCCACTCCATTTATAATACCAGAGACACATTAATTCAGACCCTTTTATAATTTACTTTAAAAAAAGTAAAACCATTTGCCATTTGGATTTCCTCAAAACAAAAGTTTCTCTTTGCCCATATATTTATATATTTTAATGAAGTTTATTAATGCATATGAATAAATGAACTTTATTAAATAGATGGAATTTATCAGTTGATAATTATTCAATGCCTATGTCATGTAGATTTTAGGGCTGTTACAGAAATTTATATCCATACTATGAGAAGTATACATCATATAGATTTTGGGGGTATCTCAGAAGTTTACATTTAAAAAAAGGAAATTTACATTCATATTAAGGCTTGAGCTAATGAATGATAATCTCTGATTTTGGTTGAAAGAAATGGAATATATGCTATATGTGAAAATAGTAATATCACTCAATTTCTTAGCTAAGAACATTCAAATGTATCACCCCCTTCCCAATGATGACTTTTAAGTGATTTTTTTCTGAGCCATTGTTCAAAATAGTTTAAGAATGTTTATTTCAGAATGGTCGTGGCACATTCTTTTCTTACGTTTTTCATTAAAATTTTTATATTAATTAATTACATTAAAATATTTTTTAACGCATTGTGAATTAGGTGAAGGCTTGCACATTCTTTTTATTATCCTACATGGCAGCAGATTTGGCCCTTGAGGGTGCTTCTGGTTTTTGGAGGCAGGGAACAGAGACTCAGAACCACTGCTAGTAAACATAAGCCCAGTGAGTGCACGCTATTCCCCATCTGGGAAGTCGTCTCACAGGCCCTCCCCCTCGCCCCCTCCCCCAGTGGATACGCAGGGTTCCTGTAGATCATGCAGTCATCCCGCTCTGACTTCACACTCCAGAAAATAGCAAGTGAATGCAGAAGTAGGGAGAAGCCTCTCATGCCTCTCCGCACCTCCCTGTTAATTTTAGGGCACGTCTCTGTAAGGCGTGTTGTGAACGGAAAGAATAGCCGAGACCAAGGTCTGCATCCGTGCTGCCGGCAAATGTCAACACATGTGACATGGCCCATTCTCGTGTGTGACTGTGGTTCCAGTTTTAGAACGCCACGGAGCTCCCAGCTGCTCTGTCGTTTCAGCCTCTCCCACCACGTAACTTCCTTTGCTGGGTGGGGGGGGGGGGCAAGAAGCAGGGGAACCCCAGGGCACTGTGCACCCCTCAGTTTCCAGCAGCAGGATGACAGCGTTGGGAGACTTGAAAACAAACGGTTTCTAGTGGCCTTCCTGACTTCAAGACTATGGCTGAGAATGAGACATCTGTGTCGCCAGCTTTGGTAGTTGTCATCAAAGCCGCCTTGGACTCTGTCCAGGTCCATCAGCAGAGACTTTGCTGGTGACCACTCTCTCTACCACAGCTACGATGGACACCCCTGTCTAAACATCATCGAAAGAAGCGAGAGGAGGTGTCACCTTGTGAGGACACAGCTGGAGATGATCTGTAGTGTCTCGGGTCTTCGTTCAGTTTCGAGCCTTTGGGGAAAACGTGACTGGCATAGACCCCAAAGCCTTTGGATCTGTTCGTTTTTGTTTTAACCTAAGGGGGGTGGGGGTGGCATTTGACTGTTTTTAATGATAGAGGTGAAAATTTGGCTCCCATTTTGGTAAAACATATTTCAGTGAAATGGAGCAATGCTGTATTTCTTATTTGGATTGGCGTTTGGTTCAGACCAAATTGAATACTGTTGAGTTGCCTCTGTTTATATAAATCTACCCTTTCCTTGCATTTAGAGCCTTGGTGGCATCGTGGTTACATGTTGGGCTGTGGTCTGCAGGTCGGCAGTTTGAAACCACCAGCTTCTCCGAGCGAGGAAGATGAGGCTTTCTAGCCCTGTAAACAGTTAGAGTCTTGGAAAGTCTGCCCTGACCCGTAGGCTCGATAGGAGTCGGCATCGACTCCGTGGCAGTGAGGTTCGTTTTGTTTTGTTTTTTCTCTTCGGTGTCCTTGCGTTTAGCTTTGGGAGAGCGTGCATTTGTATCTCCTTCACCAGAGTGCCAAATTCACGGTGGACCACACATTCTCACCGTTGAAGCGCTGGCGGTAGAAACATGTTTCATTACTCATATCCATCTGTCTCTTCCAGGGAGCTATGTTTTTTGCAGTAGGTTGACAAATTTTGATAATAATTTGGGAAATCTGAAGGACTTACAGTTAGTATTCAACCTGAATACTAAGTAAATATTCAGTGTCCCTTAGCTGTATGCTTTATACTAAAATTAGAATGCTTTTTAAAAAGTGAACACTTAGAAATGTATTATTAACTCAAGAAACCTAAGGAAAACAGAAATGATCTTTCCTTAGAGAAAACAGCTTTAACTTGAATGTTGGTGTTTAATTTTTGTTTTGTACTGAAAATCCAGTGAGCTAGATTTCCTCCCAGTGCCTTGGCCATTTTCTGGTAATGGGTTTGCACTTGAGCAGTTCCACTTAAATGTCGTGCAGGTCTGATTGAGGCGACAGGAAACCTCTTTAACTGGAATATTCCAGGAATGGCAACGTTCTGCTTCCTCACACATTCTTCTGTGGTGGGTTATAACCAGCTCCCACCGACTTGCCAGTAGTTAAGCTTTCAGAATCTCTGTGAGTTGTTTGTTAAAGCAGCCATTATTAAATAGGTCTTTTAAAACAAGTGACATTAAAAACCCAGTTATTAAATACACAGAATTCATCAGTTCCCATGATGTCAAATGTGCTCTCGGGGTTGTTCACATCTGCTGTCTCTGCGCAGCTCCTGTTGCCTGCACGTTTCTTCCCACCTCCACAGTAAGCGACACCATGCGAGCAGCTTGCAGTTGGCCATGGCAAAGGGGCAAACGTGACCCCCACGGTCTTTTCTTCCCCGAGAGCAGGTGACTACACATTCATCAGCACGCCACAGATTTTATGCTCCATGAACTTTGAATTGAAAAGCCGTCGCTCTACCTTAGCCACCACGCATTAGGACACTTCTACTTTAAATGACGAGAGCACACCAACTGCCATTGTTCCCAATGCCGAAGAGGCTCTTTCTTCCATCCCCGAGATGCCTGTAATGCCGCAGCACAGTCATCTAAAATGCACGAACAAGACCACTGTTTTATGACATGTAAAGAGAAGTATGTGATTTCCAGGTCAACCTGACTTAAAATGCCATATTGTGAATTACTGACATACGCTTGTAATATTTTACTTCATTACAGCTGCCACCGGTGACATGCCAACTTACCAGCTCCGAGCTCCGACTACCACTTTGCCACAGGGAGTAGTGATGGCTGCCTCGCCAGGGAGTTTGCACAGTCCCCAGCAGCTAGCAGAAGAAGCGACACGCAAACGAGAGCTGAGGCTAATGAAAAACAGGTGAGCTTCCCCACTAGCACCAGGCAACCGCGTGTGGGACACATACTTCACTGCTGCGGGGCTCCACCAGTATTGGGCTTTTCCCAAGCTATTTCTGTGAAGGCAAGTGTTACGTAACTTCTTTACATGGGTGTGTGCCCTGCATGGGATGGTAACTAGTTTGGTTTCTACGTAAAGTTCTCAGACACGGAGTGCCTTCTTTCATCAGGAGTGCATTCCCATAGTGCTACAGGGGGTAATGTCCAATAGCTACACTGGGTTTTTTTTTAAATGATGATGAAAGGACTTTATTACAAATAGAGATGTACTTTGTATTTGATACTTATTTTATGGCATGTATCAAATACATGATAAAGGTGGTATATGATAGAGGTGATACATTAAAATTTTTTAGTTCTTTGTGCACAAAATAAATTTGCATGTGAGTTAAATACTTCTTTCTAACTCTTGAACCCTGTATCTATTCTGTAACACCCCCCCCTCTGTTTTACTGAACTGTGTATTCTTAATACGTCAGTAAAAATGCAAATATGAAAAATTAAAGTTAAATTATTCATAGTCCAGGCTCTCACCTAGAGATAACGACTAATAACTATATATGTATATGTGAGCATAATGTCCAGTCTGTTCTCTCCCCTTTTCTTTCACTCTCTTGTGTTCTCTATTACATTATTTTTTTAAAGCAGCATATTTTTCAAAATCCTTTTTTTGTTTTTATTTCTTAGCAGTTTTATTGGCATATAATTCACTTCTCACACAATCTGGTATTTCAATCATATTAAGAAGAGTTATACAGTCATCACCACAATCAATTTTAGGACATTTTTCTTCTTTCTTATACTCAGTATTATTAGCTCCCCATCTTCCCCAAACCTCCCTTGCCACACTCCCATGAAATTCAGTTACAGTCTCTATAGATTTGTCAAAATTCCTTTTTGAAAAAAATCTAACTTGCATATTATTTTGGGATTTAATTTTTATTCGGGGGAATAGTGCAAATTAATCTTATTTTCAAGATGCACAGAATTGGTCTGAGTTTATCAGCAGTCTTGCCACACTTATATCCAAAGATTAAATAATTTCACCCAGTGGCAGCTATTTGCTAGGTGTTGTTAGTTAGCAACCTAGTGAATCTAGACATGATGGCTTCTGAGCGCCCAACATTCAGAAACGAATGTCTGCTTCGTCACTGTCTTCTGTACCTTGAGTGTGAACCAGAAGTACCGTATATGCTCGAGTATAAGCCAACCCGAATATCCACCGAGGCACCTAATTTTACCACAAAAATTACATTAAAAATATGCTGGAAAACCCAGCTTATACACAAGTATATATGGTAGCTATATTCCGTTTACCAGTTATTTTTCAAAAGTCAAAATGTAATAAGAGGAAGTCTTTTTTTATTATCATTTTATTGGGGCTTGTACAATTCTTATCACAATCCATACATCCATCCATTGTGTCAAGCACATGTGTACATTTGTTGCCATCATCAAACATTTGCCTTCTACTTGAGCCCTAAATATCCGCTCCTCATTTTTCCCCCTCCCTAAGAGGAAGTCTGAAGTTGATTCTGGCATCCAAGCGTATCAGATCACACATCACTTGGTGGGCTTTCACACTCAGCAAACGAGCAAAGTAGGATCAGTAAGACTACACGTTTTTATCAGCGGTTGCTCTGTTTATCGAGTCATGCTGGAGTTAGACTTGTCAGTCTCTGTGGTGTACTCAGAAATCCTGAAGGGCTGGATGAGGAAAGGGGGGGGAGGGGCGCCTCACACCACATCCTAGTTGTGTTCTGCACACCTTGATACCATGGTGGCACAGGAATACTTTCTGCGATCCCAGGCGATGGCTGGAATCGCCCCTGGTTGTTGGAATGTACATGGTCAGATTCAGTTGAGACGCATAAAATCTGACAGTAATACAAACTGAAATTGTTTATTGAAGACTGCTTTTCCAACAGAAAATAAGAAAGAAAAACTTTAACCTTCTTACTTCCTTTCTATTACTGTTCTCTGCTTTTATTTTTAGATATCAAAATTCTGTCATTTCATTTTGTTATTTCATTTGTCAAAATGAAATAAATGATCAGGCAGTGGGTGCCTGTAAACTTGCCACCCAGCCACCAAACCCACAAACTCACTGGCATCAAGTCAATTCCGGTTCATAGCGCCCCGTAGGACAAGGGAGAGGTGCTGTTGTGAGATGCCTCTTCTTTCTCCTCTCCACACAGCTGCCCTCACGTGTGTGTGCGGGACCATCATGAGAGAGAAAATCTATGGTAAGATATTAGGGTTTTAAAAAAGTAATGAAGAACCCCAAGCTTTATGAATAGTAATTTTGTTTGCACTACAAAGAACCAGAAACCTGGAAAGTACAGGCTTACCCTTGTAAGCAGTTTGTTTGTTTGTTTGTTTTGGCCACAGTAGATGGGCACAGGGTCTCAGTAGTGTCCTCGAGCACTGTGCCATTCATTTCTATCATTGCCACACGGCGGCCATCTCTCCAGACAGTGCATCGGGCAGGAAGAAAGGACTCCATCTCAGAGTTGCCAGTGGTGGAGTCTGGCCCCTCATACAACCTTTCCACGAGGATCCACTCAGCGTGTTTCTCTGACATTTCATTGGCTAGAACTAGGCTTTGAGTCGTTGGATCCTGAAGAGGGTTTGGGCTTTACCTGCCCACTACATTTTTCAGAGCAAGACAAGAGAAAAAGTAGGTTGTAGATGGGTATCAGTTGAGCCATTGCCACGTCCAAGTCGAAGGAGTTTTTTCTTTCTACTGTTCCTTTAGCCCTCACCAGGCCCCATTATTAGTCGCATGTTGCCCACAGGTGAGGAACCGAGGGTTAGCGAGTTTAAGGAATAAGTTGCTTAACAGAGCCCACACTGGACAGAGATAGGAGATGCCACCCAATAGTCTTTGTTCCAGAACCTACTGCTTGTCCCTGACCCTAAGGTCACGGCAGAGCAGACCTCCCAGGCAGCTGCAGATGCCCAAGCAGGCAAGTGCCTGGGTTTTACTTAGGAATGCAGAGAGCCCGGGGCACTTCCTCCTCTTTTCAGTCATTGTTTTTCCTTTACAGGAGATAACTGATTGTCTTCCTAGCAATCCAATGGCCGTCTTTATCTCATTACAGCCTTCTCAATGTTTCCTCTCTGCCCAGTGCTTGCTTTCCAGGCTGAGGATCTATCCAGACAAACGCTAGGCCTGAAAACAGCTAACTATTCTTAGAAGCAGCAGCTGTTCTCCACAGCTGAACAGTATTTAGGAATGCACCATCAGTGGCATTTTCATTTCAGTCTTTGTCCTGACAACATTTTGACCCCAGTAACACATATGTGTGCACACACCAATATGTAAAATAAGAACGACGGGTATTTACAACTAACAGCTGGGTTAATACAGCCTTAAAAAATGTAACATCACCACCACCACAGTGTCATTCAATACTTAAAATTTCATTTCATGGTAACTTGCTTTGTGAGATGACTGTTTTCCTTCTGGATCTAGATGTTACTTTTTATTTTTTATTTTTATTTTTTTTGATCTAGATGTTACTTTAATGATTAATAATGAAAACCTTGATATTCACAAGTGAATTTGCGTCCCTTTGTAGAAAATATATTTTCTTCCCAAACTGGTAAATTATCAATGGGGCGCATTTGTAACTTTTCTCCCTGTGCATATGTGGATTAATCAGTATTTTATTAGACTCAGCAGTCAAGTTCACATTTCCGCCCCCTTCCCCCCACCCCCACCCCCACCCCCACCCCCCTCACCCCACACAGGCCTTTTTGAAATCTATTTTGCTAACCAGTTGAAAAGTCTGGGGGTGGGGTGGGAGGGGAATCGATTAATTTTTCTTGGCCTGGAAGTGTAGGGGCTGACGTTTTCCTGCAGCTCGTTGGGATTTCAGGCCCTCTTTTTGGCCGACTCCTGCTGCCCACGGAGAAAACACAGATAGGCAGTCATGGGAGTCTCGGACCCGAACAAGAAGAGAGTTGGCCAGATCTGTTGTCTGTATCACACCTGGATCGGGAATATAGCAGTGCTAATCAGCGAACTTGTAGATACTCAGTACTATCTCTAGGAAAGTGTAAAGTTGAATTATAAGATGTCTCCCTGTGGGTTTTTTTGGGATGGATTTTATCAGGCAACGGGTACCAGTGCACTCACACAGGTTATTTTCAAATTGAATACTTCAAAAGAAAGCTGTTGGCAGAAGATATAATCCATAGAGGAGTTCCATGAGGTATTTGCCACCTCACCTCCCCACCAACAACACAGCAAGAGGAAATGTTGGCTCTAGTCATTGTTTTAAGGGCCGGTTATGCTAGAAAGTTACTAACTCGACTCATCCCTTTGTTTGTGTTGGGCTGTTGGCTGCTGGTCTGGTCTTCATTCTGGGCAGGCTTCCAGGGCTCTAACCATCCATGTGTTGGGTATTAAAGGCATGTGATTAAGAGAACAAACTTGAAATACACTTTTGAGTTACTCACTAACTTCCTTTTCAGCATTCCATTCGTGGTGCTCACGCATTCCTGCAGTGTTGTGTTGTGTTGTGTTGTGTTGAGTGTGTGCCTGCCCCAGCTGCCTTTTCTCTTCTTCAATTCCGAACCAACGGCCATTTCATGTTGTCTTGTGAGCATTGTCATTGCTCGTTATACTCACACCTGCTGTGTTTTCTAGCTAGTAAGTAAACTTGTTTCTGGTAGTCATGATTGAGCCTACTTGTTGTGCTGAGATTTCTTCTGAAAAGCACAGAGCCCCAATATTGACATGTAAGCCTACTGGGGACTCCAGTCTTCTAATTGTCTTTTCATCAAAGAACAGTGAACTCGTTGTAATGAGGTATATGGGTAGACAAAGACACTTAAGACAAGTTGGGGGGATCTGCATGTGTTTTTGTAGCCATTCCACTCGGGGATGTGGCCCTACGGTTTTGGATCACTGAAAACAATCCCCTGATCTGGCCTTTGCTAGGAACAGGTGTCCTCAGGAAACCCTCTCCACGCTGCATGCTGAGCAAGCTGATGGTGCGCGTCTCCCGTGGCGGCTGTTGTGGGACAAGAAGGCACGTGCCTTGTTCCGTTTGTCGAACGGCGGTGCACGAGCCTCACGGACGACAGATCAGCTGGTCGGCTGCTGTGTTTGGTGGGCGGCCAAGGTGCACCGAGCCGCTCTGAGCTGTGCAGGCAGCTGTTCCTGTAGTCATTTGCCTTGTGTTGCTTCCAGGGAAGCTGCCCGGGAGTGTCGCAGGAAGAAGAAGGAATATGTCAAATGTCTTGAAAACCGTGTGGCTGTGCTTGAAAACCAAAACAAGACTC